CAACTTCTGATGGGGTCAGGATAGTATTTGTTCTCCGTATTCACTACACCTTGACATCTCCAGTCTTAAGATCTTTGGTCACATCTAACTGCTGACCAGGGATTCAGTCTTGATTTTGGGGCAGGGGGAGGTGGATATAGGCCTACTGAAAAAATCTTGTACAACAGTGAGTCAGGGAGAGCACCTTAGGAATGACCAAGCAGTGTCTAATAGAGTGACAACTCACACAAGAAAAAGAGACGCGTCCACAGAAAAAACCACACACACGCACAAACACACACATACCTGCAAATCTGCCAAAATATTTGTCACATTAATCAACACACTCTCAGGTTCACCAATCTGTGGGAGGCAAAGCTATCCTGCTAGCCTCTGGTTAAGGGTGCACTGCTACAGGCATACACAGTAATAGAGATCACTCGCACATACATACATCAAACACTATAGATTACAAGATGGACCTTTCCTCTGTTTAGAGATTTAAAAAAACAACAACCCAAAACTTAACAGCGCCAGTGGCTGACATCTACTGTAATGAGCAGGATGTTTTTTTAAAAGGATGATGCATCCTGTACAAAAAGAGTAGGAGCAAAGGCGTTTTAGTTTTAGTAAGAGTTTTAAAATGCCACTTGCAGAGTCGAAGATTAGAGGTGTTACAAGAAAGTAACAAACACAAACAAAGAGAGATAAAGACAATAGATGTTTGATAGGAAACAAGGAGCAAACCACACCAGAGCACCTGCCAAGTACCCATTGGAGCAAAGGCTGCCCTAAAACAAAAACAATTTCTGTTCAAGAAATGGAACAAAGCACCGTCATCAACAGCAATAGCGACATCTATATTACCAGTACTGTGTGCAGATAGAGGAGAACTGACCCATCTTGTACTACTTGTAGCACACGCACACACACACACACGCACATACACACACACACAGAGCTTGTGACACAACCCTCAATGATATAAACCTGCAAACGGGATCCCTTGCAAGATCTCCTGGTATACATTTATATATATATATATATATATACTGAAATATGTACATCAATTGTCTAACTATCAAGAATTCATGCGAGGAAGAGGCTCTCTCGATTAGAAGGAGTTGCATAAAACTAAAAACGACTCTAAAACCTCAAACAAATACAAAGAACATTGCAATAAAACTAGGAAGAGCAGTCTGCTGTTTGTATGTTATAGACCAACAGGTAATGAGAGCAGATTGTGATAAGAGACAGACAACTGTCTGGTCACTCAATGTGAGATCATCGACAGTCCCATGCCAACAACACAAGAAATAAAAACAAAAACATAAGAAAACGAAAGAGCAATGAGTATTGACAACTTTACAAGAGGAAAATGGAACTTCATCCGAAGGGAGCTACTTAACATCTATATATTGTGGGTAAGAACGCTTGAATCAAAAACATGTATTTATGCGTTCTCACAACATAAATGATATCAGCACTGCAGATCACAAAACAATATGAATAAAAGCAAAACAAATCAGTACAATGCTGCTATGTCTTTAACCCCACCTTCAATCCTGGTTCAAAGGTTCAACCTCTTCCAGCAGTTGACAAAACAAAAAAATAACAAAACCTAGAGATGAACACGAGTTTCTCCGATTTCATACACGGTTGGTCCAGTCCAGAACCCTGAAGCCCCATTTAGAAAGAGACTAACAAAAAAGCTTCAATCGTGTAAGGCATTCACGAGTTAAAAAAAAACAACAACCTCTACAATGGATCAAAACTTTGGTCAAGCCCGGAAAAATAACAATGAAAGGTTTTCGCTGTTATGTCACTCAACGTTTGGTCACGAGAAGGATCTCTTTGAACAGAAGTATTCAACATAAAATTAAGAAAAATGTGATAGTATGGGTTAATACGAGGTAGTAAACTGGTATAGGAAGAGTGACTGAAGTACTTTATTTCATCCTTCTACAGCAGAACGGAGAAAAAACAGAGCAAATAAGATGAAAAAAAGGTCTGGGTTGTAGCTAAAACTGAATCAAGCACAGTGATGGTCAACAATGATACAGGGCTTGAGGTGTGGCATAGAGGATGGATAAAAGGATAGAATATCAATGACAAGAACAGCAAAGGACTATTCATCTCCACAAAAAGTTTTGTGCCAGTGGAAATGTTTTAAGCTTTACCCTGTCTCTTCAAAGGCATGAAGGAAAAGTGTTCCCTGTCGTTTGCTGTCCTTCACTGGGGTGTTCAATTCCAGGAAAAATCTACAAGTAAGACCAGTTCCATAACGAACAAACAACAGAGAAAAAAAAATGTGCCCCTGGCAAAAAACCTGAGTCTGCTTCTCTTTTAACATTTGTTGTCACAAGTTCCTTTTCACGAGGTCATGCATTGCAACAGTACGATTCATCAATGTCAACATCTAAAGGTCAACAGTCTAAACAAGGGTAAAATCAGAAATACAGAATAAGAAACTCTGGGGGAAATAAAAACAGCGCAATACATGGAAGTACAGAGAAAGGTATGCGTATGGGGTTTAATAAAAAAAACAATAAAAACTTTTCACAACTTTCAAACAAAGTTGAAAATCAGCAGTGTATTCATATCAACAATTGTACTTGTATGCTAATTCCATCACAACAGCGTACTGTGCTGAACAAGATGACAGCCAAGTGTGCGTTAACACGTGGGCTTCATTCAAATTGAAACCCTCACTCTCCAGACACCCAACACCCACTCGTAGCTACTGCACTTCTATTCTACAGTAACATGAAGCCTATAATTTAGTTTTAGTACGAGTTTTACGGCACTTGCAACACAGGTCATATATAAGTGCCGAAGATAAGACATGTTACTTGAGTGTAACATGAACAAACAAAAGAAAAAGGAGAGATAAGAACGATGGATCTGATAAGGAAAGAAGAACCCGCCAACTACACACATATGAAGCCTTACAAAATTTGCTACATATTTCTATTTCAGAAGTTATGCAAATATATGCACACAAAAGCCAGACAATTCAAATAGCAATTTTCTCGTTTAAGTAAGAAATGAATACCTGTTCTTTTTTTCAATCAGAAATTAAGAGATATTTGCTTGACTAATTTATGTCACAGGCTGCTTTTAGTTTCTCTTCTACCTCTGTATCACATCTTGGAACTATCAGTCTAAATGAAAACACAAAAGAAGTTCATATTATGTGAACTAAGAATCAAACAGGATCCAGCAAGGGCACCAGACTCTAGCATGTAGAGGGTCTTCAAATCTTTCTCCCCCCCCCTAAAATGGAAAGTAACAAAGAGTTCTAAGTTTATCTTTCAAGATTGGTACTGTTATTTCTGAAGTGAGAACTAGACATATGTTTCAAGAGCAATCAAAAGCTAATGTATCAGTGACGAGACTTCAGAAAAGAAAAGAATAAATAACAATATACATTCAAGTATGAATCTTTGCGAGAACGTACAGTAGAATCTGTGTAAAGTGTGTTTGCGAAAAAATCAACCTGGACTGTCGACAACTGACCTTACCTGAGAGAGGCTCCAGCAACATGAGAGAGAGAGAGAGAGAGAGAGAGAGAGAGAGAGAGAGAGAGAGAGAGAGACATCTGTGGTCTTAACCAGTTCAGAGAAATGACACTTGCTGTGCCAACGGATTCCTTCCCCCAAGTTCCCTAGTCAGCATGAAGACTGAACACTTTCATCTTCCCCAAGAAAAGAGTGTTCTCGGTAAAGTCACTAGTTGGGAATCAGAACTACATCCGCTCCTCCAAGACTAAACTCATGTTTCAGAAACTTTTTATTCCTATTCTGCAAAGTACAGGTTCCCACATTGGACAGGTTCAACAGTCTCAATATGTAGCCCTGTTATCTCAGCCCAGCCGAGTGTGTGCATGTGTGTGTGTGTGTGTAAAGTGCATGTTGTGCCACAGCAGGTTTCCACCTTGGTACGGTCAACAGCAGTCCCAACGAATGCCTGCCACAGTTCTCTGACCTACAACATATATACAGAATTAAACCAAGATCTGCATATAAACTTGCCAAGCCACTGTCCAACTAAGCCACTATCCCTCATCAAATTGACACATAATTACCTTGGTGTCAGAGAGTGACCCTGTCGCAGATGTCTTGAGTAAATTAATGCATCCACATACAGTCATGGAGACATAACATTACAGAGAGTAGTAAAGTGCTGCCTTGAGTTAGGTTCTTTGCTGCTTTAGAACTAAAGCAACTGAGTGTTCTCTCACAAATGACACGTGAGGAAAAAAGCCAAAAGTTTTTCAGCTACCCTCAAACTTTAAAGACAAAATAACCCTCCTGAATCTTTAGAAAAACTGGCTTGGTCATCACAACACTGGCTACTAATTCATCATGTCTGTGTGCATAAGCTGGTGGGGGGTTGTTGTGTACACAGATTTAGATTCAATGGCCATATATATACATAATCATACTTTCCTACTCATGAAGACAGGAACATACAAGTGAATCGAATGTGGTACTGACACCATGTTGAGCATTATTCAAGGGTGTAAGTTTGCATATAATGCACAGTCTGCCATGTCCAGCTGTTCGTGATAAGACTGGACAATGTTTTCCCTGTATATTGCGGAAACATCAGTAAAACATTACTTCCCTAAAATAAATAAAAACACAAACAAAAGCTACAATTATATCATTCTCCTACAAGGCAGGTGTGTCCACTTGACTTGATGACTGGTAGTGAGGTAGAACAACGGCAGGTAGAACAATGGCTGTAGCAAATGCCTTGCTCACAGAGAAGAGAAAAACCAGCTGCTCCTACAGGTATACAGCAAACACACCTGTCTCTCCAAAATAACAGACAGACAAAACAGATACATTCAAGGCCTCACCATCTCTCCATGACAACAAACTGACTCGTACTAGGCCATGTCATCAGCATCAATGTCCACCTTATACACATTTCAGAATTCTCTTTATCAAGTCAGGAGAATCACAACACGGACAAATTGTTAAAACAGTATTTCCAAAGAAATATCCAGGCACTTTTTTTCATTCTTCAATTGGTTTTTTATTTTTATCAGATTGTTTCTCCCAAGAGAGGCACTCTTTCTTGAATTCTTGACCAACAATGAATTATACTGGTACACCCACAAACAGAATTCCATCCAGACTCTGAATTCACTGACAAAAAAATAATACATTATACGAACACGTAGACATGACTATACGAAGGTCAACAGCAAAAAGTAGCACTCTCTGTGAGTTTCACTGTCGATCAATAGTATTGAAGAACCACTCAGTAAACCTCCGTAGCTGCGTGGCCGCAGTCTGAGACTCCTCCTGTAGGCGTACATTATCGGCTCTCAGGTCTTGAATCTCTGCCTCCATGGAAGACTTTTCCTTCCGCACCTTGTTTAGGAAGAGAGAATGCAGTTTGGGAAAAAACAATGAGAAATTGATCAAAATAAATCTTTTGATGTAAAACACAAACAATTGAAAGTTAGCTCTCAGTTTCCAGATTGAGCAAACATTAACAACTTCACAGCAGGCTGGAAATTCAACAGCAACATTTCTCCGACGTTATTGTCTGTGTAGGGAAATCGTAGCCAGAATGAAAATAAAACACACGATAAAACAGATTTATTTAAAAAGGAATCATACATCTGTACATAGTTGTATATGGCTCCATTCATTCCAGTGAAGACAAGAGACGAACAAATTAAGTTTTAGATAGAGAACAGCTTCAGCCTTGCACTTTGTCTGTAGATCTTTCCTAACATGTCTTTGTGCAGCCAGCATCAAGGACAGTCACAAATCATGAAAAAACAAATACAAACTGAACTCCTGAACTCTAGGAAGTACTGAATACATAAAGCTTTTTAAAAATCCTCAACACTTATTATCCTGGCAAGTGTCAGTTCTATTACTTAAACATACTCAAGAGTTGGATGTTGTTTCAACATTGCAATTACATTTTTCCTGAAATCAATATGCAATCAACACAACCTCTTCTTGTTTGACCCTTTATCATCATCCTAACATGTTTTAGAATTAGTCACGGGAAATTTCTCTTGAGCAGGTGGTCAAGTGACCAGAGAGTATTGCTCACCTTGTCCAGCTCGTGAGAGACTTTGTCCAGCCGCTGTTCCAATTCCTGAATCCTCTGTTGTGGCGTGGTCGCCAGGGACATGTAAGAGGCCGACATTCTGAAACCAAACAATCATTGAGCCCATGTCCAAACAAGAAAATAGTATCATAAACTAAATGCATGTTGAGTACACAACGGTATAAATAATAAAACAATGCTGTTGGAACCAGCAAAAATACAGCTGGTGTCTCGTCACAGACAGGAATGTCTGCAAACTAAAAACTCAGCCATTCAACATATTCGGGCTTGGGGTTTTTATATTTGTAACATTCATTCTTTAACCCCTGTGAACTTTGAGATTATTCTCTCCACTACTACAACACTGCCCCCTGAGGCAGTCAAACATTTTTTAATTCCTTTATTCATTCAGTAGAGCGAGGGTATCAAACCTTACCCAGCAGATGATGTAGGCAGCCCGATATTCATTTGAGGAGAAGGTGGTCGGGGCGGGGGGCGGTCCTCTGGGGAGCTTCCATTCTCCTCACGGAGGTGCCCATTCCCAGAACGCGAGGAACTTTTGGAATCAGTTTCTGAAAAAGCAAGTTTTTCCATAGCATCATTCCCTCAATCCCATAGGGTTTTTTTTTTCACTTTATGTTTTGTAGGACTCAATTTTCCACTGAAACACTATGACGCCTTATGAGAACATCCATCATCTTCTTTTTTACAATTTATTCTTTATCACAGGTCTCGTATTTTCCTTTAAAACATTTTCAGCAAGTTAATAAGTTTTATTTCTCCTGTTTTATTTGGTCAAATTTGTAGAATCACTTAAGTCAACATATTTTCTTCCTCCAAATATTCTTATTCCAGGACCCAGTAAAACCTTTACATGAAGATCAGAACAGGATATATATATATATATATATATCACCTATTAACCACCCACAGCCAAACTAAAAATGCTGGAACAACAAAATAAAACAGTAGACATGTTCTCTGAAAAAATATTGAACCTATAACCCAGTGAAAGCGTCCAGTGACTCACCGTCAATAACCTTTGAGGCGACATTGACCAGTTTGGACCAGTCCAGAGCAGCAGCTGACTCCAGGACAGGCAAGGCTCTGTTGTCTATGGTGGACTTGCTCCTTTGCCTTGCACTGATCAGGTCAGAAAGAGCCCTCGGGGACAGCCTGTGAAAAGGCATGGAGTTGAAATCTAGCACAACAATGTCCATATTTCACCAGGAACAGAAAAGGAAAACAGAACACAGGGAAAGCGGTGAATCATCAGCACTCAACAATCATCCAAGGCTTCACTTGAGAAAAGAATCATCATGAAAAAAAACATTCTCCTGGCTTAATCAAGAGTGCAATACGTCTACATGAGAAAAAAAAAAGCGAAAAACTCATTTATTGAGGAACAATTTGTTTGTTTGTTTGATGTGGTCTGAAAACAACTCAGAACTTTTTTTGTTTTTTTATTGACTAGGTTCAAAGGCATCACTGTACAAGTCATGTGGCACTAGGATTCTGGGCACACACCTCTGTGTGGGAGAGTCCTCTGACTTGGTAGGAAGTAAGTCACTGCTGGTTCCCTTGCTGTTGTGAAGACTCTCATCAGACAAGGTCCTTTGCAGCCGTCCAGACTTCCTAGAGGTCGAACCTCTCGACTGAGGACAACAAAGAAATAGGTACTTCAAGTAAGACATCATACAAAAAAGGACAGACAGCAACACCAAAGGCTTTTCACACAAGATGATCAAAACCCTAGACAGACTTTACCATATTCACAGACAAAAATATTGAAAAAAGCACAAGACAGACTTTACTAACAAATCGAGACAAGATGATTAAAACACAATATTTTGCTACAAAGACATGATGATAAATACATTAGACACTCTTTACGGCACTCACAGGCAAGATGGCCAAAACAAAAAAAGACAGACTTTTCTACATACAGAGTCAAAACGATAATTACAGAAGTTTACTTCATACACAAAGAACAAAGTAACAAAGTACAGACACCTAAATGTATTAGAGTACAACAATTAATATTAAGAGTTTTAAACTTTAAATGAAAATCCTATTACAAACTGTGCATCAGAAAAAAATCCCACATAAAAAAGAAGAATTTTTTTTTTCTGTTTTTTTTTTGGGTGTAAAATACAAATAATCTAAATTTTCAACTTTTGACAAAGCATTCAAGAGAAATGTTGAACAATCAGAGTTATCTTACATTATAGCCCACCAGGTCATTCTCCGAGAGATCTGGGTCAATCAACCTCATGAGTTCCTCCTGGAAATCTGCTCGGGCCACTTGACGGGTGAACTTCTGGCCCGTGACACCAGGACGCAGACGTGAGTTCAGGGATTCCTCTGATGACATGCCAGAGAGGTTGCTGCAAAAACAAAACATCTACTCAGTAAACACAAAAGCAATCATAATGTGTGTGTGATATCAGAATCATTACTAATCATCAAAACTTGCTTAAAGAAAAATGATGCATGTTACTAACCCCCAAAACCCCACCAACAAACACCACCACTAGATAACTTAAGACTACAAATCAATGTCTGTTCTGAGCTGTGAATACATTACATACAATATATTATGTATTATCATACTAAGTATAAGGACACACCACTTAGCATTTCCGAGAAATCCAGTCATAGACTTTTAAAGAAATACAGGATAAAAGCTTACACACCTACAGCACTTCAAGGTGTGATTAGCATGCCATGGCTATATTTGGTAAGGAAGAGAATAAAACAAAGGTAATATCATCAAAAAGTAAAACAAGCAGTTTGTTTATAAGAGCGCCCACCAAACACCTGCCAGGCGTGTATTACATCCAAGGAAGACAGAGGTACATACCGCCTTGTGGCTCGTGGGCTGCTGGTGGATGGTTCCGTCAGTCCTTTCTTCATCACAGGCTTCATTGACCTGCTCATCACAGAGCCGTCTTTACGCCTTGGGGCTCCCACCTCTTCTGGAAGAAAGGGATTAAGGTAGTACACATTAAAGAAGTAAACTTCGAAGGGACTGACGCACTTAATGAAGTGCCTTTGAAAGAGGAACATTTTTTTTTATGTAGGTGTTTTTACACTCCCATCAACACAATTTAGATTATATCAGAGGACAACCAGGGCTAAAAGGGATACATCCCGGCAGAAAGACCAAGACAATTGATAAAAATTTTCTCCCCACTTGGGTCTCCTCCATCCGACAGCAAAGCACCTAACCACTACACCATAACAGACACCAGTTTAAAAGTTGAGCAACACAGAGCCTTAGATATATTTTCTGAACACCTTAGTCAGAGATAAGCATTTTTCTATAAATCAAGATGTGTACAGCCCATAAAAAAGAAACTTCTCAACTGAGCAAGGTTCACAAATGAGCAACAAACAAAAAATAATATGCATGATCCTCGACAGAAATACACCAAGCGCACACACAGCACATATACACCCATAAAAGTACACGCAGGGTGAAGAGCCTCAAAATCATTCCTAATGACCTGTGTACAGAACCAGTCTGGAAGGAATATGCCCGAAAATTTTAAAACTCTGTCCCACTCTACTTAATATAACAGTCAGCTCAGTTCACACAGAGGCTGCTAGAGGAAACATGACATCTGGAAAGAGAAGTATGCTAAACATACAATCCACAGAAGCTACTAATGAGTACTGGTTATGCCTGCCTAGACAAAAGCCATCAAAACTTGTTCAGTTGATCTTATTGAAAAGGGAAAAGAGCTAAAGTTACAATACCACATTATTTTTAACCTTTCCATATAAACAGATTATTTCACCTTTGATAAGTTTCCCAGATTCATTTCTGTGTGTGTACTGTGAAGAACCACTCGAGGAACCTTCACTGATCTGACTGAGGTTGGAGGCTGACCCTGGGTTTGTCCCGTCTTGCACTGACCGACCCTGCTCCACAGCTGACCTCGAAGGAGCCTGACCCTGACCTTGACCCAACAGGTACTTAGTGTTCTGTGTCTGCTTCAGCAGCTCCAGGGCGATGTTCCCCGTGGCCGGGATACTGGAGCTGTACTCCATGTTGGCAAACTGTCGCTTGTTGGTGGCGGCACTGCCGTAGACACTGCTGTCCATGCTCACATCAGTGCTTGCTGCCACTCGCTCACCTCGACGTAGAGGGGGCTGAAGGCACAAGAACAAAACAAACTGTTATCTTCTATCAGTTCAACAAAAGTACGCCAGTTAACTAAATGTTTATGTTAAACATGTCTATAGAAAAGGGAAACAAGGAAGGAATTAAGCCCAATAAAAAAAGAAAAGTAGAATCTATCAGAGGGACAGCTTCCAACCACTCATTGCAAACATAAATCATACACGTTGGATGCACAGAATCAGTAGAAAGCATGTTAAAAAGTTTTAACTTTAAAAAAATGTTTAAGCCATCTTTTATTCAGAAAAAAACCCTGTTATAGGTGTATTTTAACAAACAAAATTAATAAGCACAAAACATTTCAATTAATTAAAACAGACCAGATTACCAATGGAACGGGAAATGGAGGCACCAGAAGCAAGCTTTGTACCACAACATGGGCATTGTGAAAGAGAAACTAATGCTCATAAAGAGAATACAAAATGAGAGGGCTTTAAGACTAGTCTAACAGTGGCTGCAGCACAGATTAGCTGCCAAAAATGATTATTCAGTAATAGATTTAAAAATTTAAAAGTTATTCCACAGCAACACAGTCAATGCTGCTCTCATTTCAACTTCTGATACTCAAAGGACATCTGGTTATCTCTGACAGATAAAGCATCCAGTCCACTGCAAACACAAACTCACCTGATTGTGTTGACTAGATCTGGACCTTGCACTCAATGCTGGAAATAATACAAAAGGATAATTTTGAAAGGGGACAAAATAAAGAACATTAAAACAGAGAAAGTAGCTAGCCACAATCTCTTAAAAAGTTATATGTCACTGTTTATAATACAAATGAACACTGAAATTAGATCAGAGAGTTTACATAGTCTTTCAGAATGAAAGCCCCAAGACTTTGTAAAAGGGAAACTTCTTTTATATTCTTCACTTTCAAGGAAAATTTCATCAGAGGCTTACAATATAACTGAGTATTACACTGTTATTACAGTAAACACCGTCTGATACTCTCTTTGATCTAACTGGCACCAAGACATCAAAACAGCTAAACACCATGGCACATAATTTTCCTCCTCATCCAAGGGCTAGGAGAAGGGGAGTGCAAGAAGATAGGAGACAAGAAAGGCTGAGTTAGAGAAGGGAGGACCAGAAATTGGGCAGGTCAGGAAGGTCTCGATAGAAGACTGAGAGGGTTTGGAGATGGGGGAAAGCTGGGTAAAAGGAGATAGGCTAGGAGATAGCGATGGCTAGGAGAGGAGGAAGGCTAGAAGAGGGGTAGAGAATGATAAGAGAGGAGGGCTAGCAGATGGGGAGAGATGAGAGAGGAGGGCTACAAGATGGGGAGAGATGAGAGAGGAGGGCTAGAAGAGGGGAAGAGATGAGAGAGGAGGGCTAGAAAGAGGAGGAGGGCTAGGAGATGGGGAGAGATGAGAGAGGAGGGCTAGAAGATTGGGAGAGTTAGGAGAGGAAGGCTAGGTGACGGGAAGGGCTACACGATGGGGGGGGGAGGGCTAGGACATGGGGAGGGCCTGAGACAAGTTTGACAAGGTACCTGACAAGGAATAGTCTGAACTGTCATGAGAGTTATTCCTGGAGTGTGGCTCCTCCCCTGAGCTGGTGTGCCCTTCATGGCTGCCCCGCACTGAGCCGTACATGTCCGCTGACTCCTGGCGGGTGTGACCAAAATAGGAGCTGCGACCATCGTCAGAAGAGCGCCCCGACGACAGGGTGGAGTCCGAGTAGCCATGGTGGGTGGTGACGGGCCGCTGCCGGGGGGACTCAAACACGGAGCTGCTGGCCTGCTGCTGATGTTGTTGTTGTTGTTGTTGTTGTTGTGAGTTGGATGAAGGGGACGGCTTGCTGCCCACTGAGGTGGAGGATGATGGTAGTGGGGAAGTCAGGCTGATGCTGTTGTCACCTCTGTCAAGAGTACCACAAAGTTACAGTCAAAAAGTGGGAGGACAAGAGTTGATTACAAGAAACATCTTCTTTCCCAACGTCTCAACTCCAAATGTCTGAAGCAAGTTTTTTAAAGACAGTCTTCATTGATAAAGCAATAGACATTCTCTTAATTTATTTCCTTTTTTTCCCAATGAGGTGGAATGGGGGAGAGGAGTTTCTGAAAAACATACAAACTAAACATTTAAAATCACTTTAAAAAATGAAGTCGTTTCTTGTTTATTAGGTGTGGGGGGTTTAAAGGCTGAAAACATTTTTTTTACAAAACAAACGTCAGAAAACCTGATTTAGAAACCATCAAACAATTCAGTGAATAAAACCAAGAGCCTACATTACAGAGTACACAAAATCATACAATACTGGTCCCTGGCAGAGGTACATTTAAGCAAAAACCACCAGATCCAGCAGCCCTTCAGACCACAATAATTCTGCAATACATTTAAAGAGCCAATTAAGCCAGGCCACTTCCTCGGGTATGCATTCATTACTCCATTTACCAGCATATTGATGGTGTTAGTCCATCAGCCCAAAAGTGGCTGACCCCTAAGAAAATGAACTTTACAAGGGATAGGAAGAAAGTTATTCTAATTTTTTCCTTCAATTACTTAAATGAAATCAGGCCTTTCTATACAGTATTTCTCAGCTTCCAGGGTAAAGACAGATAGATGCTTGATGTTTACAATTATATTCTATGATTTGTTAATGGAAGGCTTTTGGGGATTTTAAGATTTAGCCAGTTTGCGTCCTTCAATATACTTATTGAGCACTTAAACAAGCTCTCTGGCACACACAAAGCCACAGAGCAAACCAGTGAGTAAATGACCACACCATTTCAACGCTGCTCAGCACATGGCCTCACCAAATCATAATTATACATACATGCAGAGGGATATACAACATATCTGTACAGATAACATATATATGTGCCTATTTGGATTATGACTCTGTATGACACTCTGCACGTCATGTCGTAGGTGTGGGCATGATTCACTCACATGGTGCAAATGCCATAAATGTGATAGAATACATTGCAGCTTTTAAAACTAGATGCATCAAAGACACTAGAGTTGCTAATGCATACACCTTTATTTACCCACAAATTGCAGTGACAGAAACTCCATCTTAAAGGACTTCTTCGTACAAGAAAGACAAATGTGATAAGTGTAAAGACTTCCCTCTGAGCTTATAAAACCTTGCAGTGTTATATTGGCATTTCCAAAGCTTTTATCACTAGCAAAAGGTCAAATGATAAATATGATAACCTATCTTGGTAGTAATGATGCCACTAAGCAGATTAAGACAATAACACAGCAAAAAAAGTAGTCTGAGCAGACTACTGGCAAGGCAATAAGTCTTGTCTTGGAATCCTGCCATCAAAAACACACATTATATTCAACAACTTATCTCTTCCCTCGGACAGAGGGGAGTTTCACGTCTGAGCTGTGTGCTCATGCTTCAATAAGCCATGGAAAAAAGCCACAGAAGATGTCTGCTTCAACTCACAGTAAGATGTGTACCGGTATGAAATGGAGAGTTGCCAAAGTGGCAGGCACACAAATTAAAAGAAGCAAGCAACTGAACTATTAAAATAAAAAAGTAAACTACATTAAGTGAGTTTTACAACAAAATCACAGCTTGAACTGTCTGTCTTGAAAGTCAACATCATACTTCCTGTATTTGTATCATTGGAATACTCTACTTCACACAAATAGGGCATTATGGAGGCAGATGTGATGCTTCAACAGCAGAAAACAAAGCAAACCGACAATTACACAGCTAAAAAGAGTCTTGGATCTTTCATCATTTTCCTGAATCCATATCCAAGCAAAATAAGAATGGAAAAACACTTACAAACTAGAAAAGATACTATGTTAATCAAGGCAGTTCTTGAATAAAGGAAGCCATCTAAATTTATCTGCTGAACTTACGAAACTTCATCTTCTGTGCAAAGGAGGAAAATAAAAAGCGTGACTCAAGCTTCCTGTAGGGCTGAACACTCCGGTAGAGAGAAGGACATTGCAGGATAATTGTCAGTCAGAGCAGGACGGGAAAACAAACACATCCAAACATATGCTTACACAAACACAAACAAAAAACAAACTGTTGAGTTGACGGCAAACAACAATTGCTCGAGTGCACTGGAAAAAAACATGAAATACCACACAGAAAAAGAAAAAAAGTAACGACAAGAAAATAAAAAGCACCACAACACAGTGCAATACACAGGGCAAAATGTTGTCTAACAGCTTGTGTGAACTAATGAAAAGAAACAGCTGAGAAGCAATCCGTCCTCTAACCTTCTTGTTGTTCCAGCAACCTGCTGCTGTAACTACATAGCGCTTTTCACTAGAACTGGAAGAACATTATTTCTCTACAATAACTTTTGCATACCAGGAAAGCTTCATGTTCCAAACGAAACTGTAGTATAGCACGGAACATCACACTTCCGTCTCCACTGAATGGAAGCTTATTGTATATATTTCAGAATATATGAGTATAAAATGTATATATATAACAGCAACCATTCGCTATTATAAAACAGATGATGGGCAATAGGATATAAATACAATTTCTCTGGAGTGACGAAAAACTTCTGAAAAAAAAAATTCAAAATGAAACTCCACAACTGCAGTTCAAGCAAAAAAAAGGCAAGCAGTGCACCTAAGTTCACTTCACAAAGGAGAAAAATAAGCAAAACATGATGAAGAAATAAGTCTGCTGAACCTGAAAACACTTGGGACCATGTGCAACTTCAATGCATTTACATAATGATAAATAACAATTTGGTCACATGAATTAGCAGTTACTAGTTAGGTATTTAAAAGGTTTCCTTCTCTTGTTCATTAAACTCTATACTACAAGTCACTGGACATAATAATATTCTTGATGAAACGTTTGAGGAACTCAGTCACAGAAATCTGAAAGGCACTGGTACAGTTTTGCTCCTTAAAAAGTTCAAGGGAAACTTATTCTGATTAAGAACTAATGATCAAAGAGTCCCATTAGTTTTCATATAAAACCTGTCTGCACACAAGAATAATACAGCTAATTTCAGGCAGGCAAGCAAGCAGGCAAAGATGGGAAGGTAGGGTAACGAGACTGGACTGGAAGCTCAAGGGGAATTCCCTCATGGGCAAGAAAGTCAGAGGGACACTTTTGCAATGCTTTAGCACACCCAAGAGGAAAGACAAGTTGTGTCAATAGCAATGTTGAGGAATAGCCAAAATGAAATTGAGGTAACTTCTGTCTGAATGAAAGAATCCTGCTTTCTTTTTGTTTTTTCTGATATTCTAGACATTATCTCATCATTCCATCATCTGTGTCACTTCCTTAAATTTAGATGATACAACTCTTTTCAGTTTTCTTTTTACATTGTTCATCGATATCCCTTTCAAAATGTATTTATTAGCCAATGAAAATGATGACAATACAAAGTCTTTTCTTTTTTTGTTATTGTTGTTGTTGTAAATGAATACCTCTTTCAAAATGTATGAACTTACCAAAGTAAAGGAGAATGTGTAATCTAAAAACGATGTGTTGTGACAGTAACAGAGAAACTATGTGTCTTGTGAAAGTGGAGAGAAAAAGTAAAACTGGTAGCTCTGGGAGGAGTAGTGGGGTCAGGTGAGTAACACAGATACCTAGTGAGGAGGAAGCTAGGCTCCGAGGGGGATGGAGATGGAGCATGGAGGGTTTCGGAGATCATGATGGCATTTAGCGACATCATGGAGGTGTGGGGGAGATGTGTGGTCAGGCTGATGAAGCCCCTGTGGACGGGAAACAGTAGCAACAATCATAGTCACGTGGCAAGTAAACAAGTATATACGTACATTGTGAAACAGGACAGCCGGAGACAAGGCACAAACTCAAACCACAAAGAGAACATTTCTAACACATAAACCCACCCGCAACAAAACAGACGGACCTGCCGAATATAATTAAATGGATACGTTTAAACCCCCCCCCCCCCCCCCATCCACACAGTTTAGATCTTTTTGAGGGTGCAGGGGTGCAGGGACACGGTGCCCCTGTAGAAAGATGGAGACACTGGATAAATCTTACTTCTAAAAATAGACAATCTATCTGTAATCAAAGAAACAAACTGTCTAGGTTCATTGTGATGTGGTAGAATTGAAATACAAAACAATTCCAAAGAATATAATTCTTTTTAGAGTCACTCGACATTACCAAAAAAAAAAGTGAACCAGTACCAACAAATTTGTTTTCTTCAAAAGTTATGGAAGAGAACAAGTTTTGATTAACGGACAGGATTAGTGATGAAAAGACAACACAAAAGGAACTTGGGATATAAGAAAAACATTTACAAATGTGCACTTGTTTATACAACTTCAAATGACCGACTTGAGACTGGATTGCACCACACTGACAATAATACTCTCATCACGTCAGAACCAGAATCAACAACATTATGGAGGAGAAGGTGAAACACACACAAACTGAAGGTCACTGACAGACAACAAAGTATCTACACTGAGAGAGGGAGATTTTTTTGTTTGTCTGTTGGGGTAAATAGATGTACACAGACTCAGTGCAAAGAAAGAGAAAAACAAAAGGCAGAAAAAGCAGGAAGGAAAGAAAAGAAGTAGGACCTACCACTGATGCCCTCCAACCATCAAAACTTAATAGCTTAAAACAAGGCATTAGTGACAGAGGAAGGGAGCATGTGCTGGGTGCTGGAGGTGTAAGTACTGAGGGAGCTTAGGACGTACTGATGTTGAAAATATGGCAATCACTGCACCATGGACTTAAAAGCTAAATCACAGAATAAGTCATAACCCCATGTATTTTCAAACAGTGACAAGCTATCGTGATGTATACACACAAGGCTTCCATCTTAGGTACGCTGTGCTACACAGCGCTCTCATCAAAGAACTTGGTTCCCAGATTTTACCCTCTGGTATCGCTGCAAGCCTTTCAAGTTCCAAGTGCATAAAAAAAGATTTTTTCTCTCTAAAAATGTACTTTTTGAAAGTTGAAAATGGCATTTTTCTATTGCCACTGAAGTTCAATTGTCATTTCATTATTGACAGAAATCAAGAACATTAAACTTGATGATACAATCACCAAACCTGCACTCTAATTTTCCTCCATTTACACGAATGATTGCCAAATGTCACAACCTCAGAGCACCAATTCTACTTATTTCATTACTGAAGCGTCAATTTCTTCTACTGCGGCCATATCCTGCCTCTATAGAATCCACATACTGACAATTTCTCTAAATCTAGTCAAGATTTGAGAAAGTTTCTCTCTGATACTGATAATTTTCTTTCTACAATCACAATTCACTTTTCTTGATCAATGCCCAGGTTTTGCAGCTGTGGCAAAGACCCGAAGATAGAAAGAAAGAATGAGTGAATGAAAGAATGGAGGGTGATTCGCTATCGTGACTAGCCAGATTTTGCCTGATTTTCAAATGAAAATGTATTGCCGACCGACCCACAATGAAGTTGCGGATGGACAATGGTCAAGTACATGAAATGCGCAATCTGACAGGTTTCTAATTCAGCTTAAATGCTGATAGTTATATCCAATAAGTTACGGAGGCAAATATAGATCCTTTGTCCTTTACTTAGTAACAATAGGCAATACTATTGTAATTTTTTTTCTTTTTACAGATGGAGTTGATATACTGAGACAGCAAAGACGGAATTTTCAGAAAGTGCAGATTTACGTAAAAACATGGCTGAATAGAAGTTTCTCACAGGCCTTTTTTCAAAATCACAGAGCCCATAGAAAATTTGTAGCTTTGACACCTTTATTGATATGGCGGTAGAACAGGTCCAAAAATTGGTAGAAATAAGCAACTCTGCACTGTGCTCCAGATGTTGAGAGGATCCTAAAAGGAGACAACAACGGAGATGGAAAAAGGAACAATAACAAAGACATAATGCTCATTTAAGTAACAGGCAATGTTGGGGGGTTTTTGTTGCTGGCAATGACATCTGAGTCTTCAATATAAAAAAATCCCCCTCCCCCAACCCCACAAAAAAGAAGAAAAAACTAACAAAAAGCAGGTGAAGGCAACGCAGAATGCATATAGCAGGATGCAAAAACATGAACATGTGACAGGAAGCAAAATTATGAAAACTGAAATAACAACTGTAAAAAATTTCTAGTACAATGTATTAATTTTGCAACAGACATTTTTTTGCAGAGAAAAAACTTTGTTTGTGACTCAGTGATATACATAAAGAAAGAAAAATGTTGGCAACTAACCTCTTTACTGCCTGCATGCCGGCAGAAATCATGCTGATGAAAATTAATTTCAAATCTGCAAGCTACTGACAAACTGTGTCATTTCACTACTGTTACCTATTCCACTGGCTTAAACAGAAGTTTGTTTGTTTCGACAAACTCGCCAACACCTTCATCTTTCTCAAGGTCAGCTTACAGACCCAACTCTCTTACTTTCCCAGTCCCCTTTAATTTATTATCCTAAGCAAGTCCAAAGATTTGAACATAACCTGAATATTGCACATTTCAAAACATAAAAACTCTTTTCTCCAGACTGCATTATACCCTGAAAAATATGAGACAGCCGGCACAAATGCCTGCCTGAACAACGCATTACAGATTGGCTTCTCGCTATACACCTTATGGCCACCACTATCAGTCAACTCTGTCAGTCACACGACAACAAGTAACAAACTGCACATAAGCTGAACAGAATCTGAATGGCATTCATTTTTTTACTGTCCCTTTCCCATTTCCCTTGTTTTGCCTTATACGTGTACTTTTCTGAACTTTTAACAGCTCCACTTAACATTGTGTGTATACCCCTGACTGCAGTCTGAAGCAGATAGATAAAAAGGTGTTTACATGTCATTTGTGGAAATTTTCCAAATTATCTGTGACTTACAATTATCTAGAGTTGAATATGTCATTAGTCCTTTCAATGCACTAGAGAGAAAAATACAGAACTTGGGACTACCAACCGATTTCAGATCACTTCCTGAGATTTTTTTTCTTAACAAAATTGAAAGTTCAACCCAAGTTCAGTAAGATGTTAGGGTAATAACAAAGCACTGTCTAAGGTTATACATCGAACTTCCTAAAACAAAATCTTTACTCATTTTCAAAATAAATATGCTCTTATTACAAAACATTTTCTGTCAGATTTTCATCATGTTTTCTTTAGACTACACTACACTACACACAGAAACCAAACAGCTCAATCAGGAAAAAACATTGGCAAGCTAAATTCTATAACCCACTTATTCTATAGAGCAGGTCTGAGGCATTCAGAGCTCTGTTGTGAACACTGATCATTCAGTCGTCAGGGACAGGAAAGGAGTTCAGTTGAAAACCCATCCCTATTCTACCACAGAGCAGCAATACTCTATCCTGGAGCAATATCCTACCCTTGAGTATTCTATCCTAGAGCAGTATCCTACCCTTGATCAGTATCCTACCCTAGAACAGTAGTGTCCAGGTGTAGAGACAAACAACTGAGACAATCATTCACACGGTGTGCAGCAAACCATAGACATGTGCAGAAACGAGAACGTGAAGTGAACAAAGAGCTTCAGTGAGACGGCCACAGTGCGCAAGGCAAACACAGTCTTGAACAAAATAAATGTGATTTGAAAACCTCTTTTCTTTCCACCCAAAAAAAAAAAAAATTTGTAATCCTCCCATCCCTCGGGAGAAAGCAAATGCCAAATTACTCACTACCCCTTCTGCAAAGACCAGAACTCTTATGGAAATAAATGAATAAGAAACTATTGAACAATAACAATTTACTAATACTACCGGTCTTTAAGCCTAAAATGTGCAGTTATCTTGAGAGGAGAATTATCTCAAGTCAATGTCCATAGAAGCGCTAGGGAATGTTGGCTCCATTCACATCAATACACATAGGAAGTACAGCAATTGGTGTAAAACAATTTGATTCACAACATCTTAAAAACTGTAAAGAGGTTTTGAAATGCTGAAAATTGGAAGACATAAATACGCCATGGAATGAACCATTCAGGATACCGTACTTGCTGGAAAGAGTCCGCAACATGAAGGAAAAGTGAATTCTAATTAGACAATGAAGGTATCTAAATTACAAAAGATGGAGGTAACAAAATCTACATTACTGCCATTGATTACAAGTACCAGAACAAGAAACAAATCTTCAAGTTTGTTTCTAATACAAATTTAAGTTTTAGTATAGGTTTAAGTTTGACTAAAGAGTGACCTATCAACAAGATAACAGTCATCTAGGGCTGGGAAAAAGTCAGACAGACAGATGAACAGAAACAACAGAGGGAACGAAGAATAAGCAAGGCCTACCAGTGGCACCCTATCACCCCGTCTCTCAATATTTATTAAGGTGCTGCTCTGAATCTTGACAAGGTAACAAATGATAATAAGGTTCAAAACATCTGTCTCTCCTCTCCAAGATAACCACTGGTACATCAGTCAAAAACTATAAAAATAAAATATATAATCAAATCACTGAATTCAACAACACTTCTGTGAGAAGTGATGAGCAAAAGTAAAAATGAAAAGGGAAAAATAACGAAATCAAGGGAAACTTATAGAGCAAAACAGAGGTTTATGCTTGTTCAAAAGAGTGAACTTGTAATATAAGGATAATATAAAACGTCATAAACTGCAAAGAAAGCAAAGATTTTTTAAAAGTCAATGGGTAAAGCGAAGAATTGATCAAATGGCGTCAAGAAAAGTGAGGATTCCGACCCTTGGGAGGGAAAATAAAAAGTAAGAACAAATAGAAAAAAAGTAATCAAGCCAAAAGCTCCACATGTTCAAATCCCTGTGTGAGTGTCTTACCTAGGGGAGCCATCGTCCATAGGGGGCACGACCACCACCTTGACCACAGCCGAAGTACGCAGCAGGTCCACGATCTGGTCATGTGACAGCGTGGTGGTGGCCACCTTGCAGATCTCTACCAGCCGACTGCCTTTACGGAGGCCAGCCTCCCAGGCAAACCCATAGGGCTCTACGTCTGTCACAATGCCCTCTGACTGGATGTGGAAACCAAGCTGGCCCAAGCCATTTCTTTTCAAAGCCATTTTTGAAGTCTGGAATACAAGAGTGGGGTGGTGAAGTTTTTATTTATGCCAAGTTAGCCACAATTGGCCACATTTTGCTAGAAGTGTATTATGATAGAAAAGAAGTAAAAGGAGCATACCACACCAGGATGCAAACCAACAATCCACAGAGGAGTGGAGTGAACTGACATCAACATGGTTCACATTACAAAGGTCTTACAACCAAAGTCAGAAGTAATGAAAGTTATGAAGATGGTAGCAATCGCCATTTCTATTTTCCAAATTCTGATTGTAGATAAGAGAGAAAAACATAAATACGAGCTACGAGCAAACAAAGGCATGGTCAAGGGTATCCTTTGTGAAATACTTTCAGACTGGCCCTGGCACAAATGGGCCAACTTCAAACTCTCTGTTAACTGGTTTTTTACTACATTGGAAAAGATGGGTCTCAGCAAATGGTGTAAAAATTCAAGAAATAGAAGTGCAGGAGAAGTCAACATGAAATTTGAGTTGGAAGTGGCTTCTGATAGTTTTATTAAACGGTCTTTAGCCGCTCAACACAATCAATATAATACATTCTACCTGTGTTCCTCTAATGCCATGAGTAGAGGCCCAGTACTCACCTCTGTGCCATTTGTGACAGCTTGTAGTCTGGTGATCATCTCATGCATCTCTTCCACCTCCCCAGACAAGGGACGCAGCAGCAGACACTCCCCAGAGCCAAAGTACATCCGCAAGCTGTACCAAAAGATACACGTAAGTAAGTGAGAACAAATCCCCTTAAACAACAGAGTACAGCAAGCTCAGAACTGAATGAATTTGTCACATAAAGTGAGTGGAGGTTAGAAGAGAGCTGCCTGTAGATTCTTTTTTCCAGTGTACTTCTCTTTTCAGAGAGAGAGAGAGAGAGAGAGAGAGAGAGAGAGAGAGAGAAT